GCTATCCTGGCTGCTAAATGGTAGAATGAGCTTCCTACTCATACCAGGATATCAGAAAGTTGACACATCTTCTGTCACAGACTGAAAACTCACCTATTTCCACTGCACCTTGGCCAATTAAATATATATAGAATATATCTTCTGTGCGGGGCACTCACAAAGGTTTGGCTTTAAGTGAAGCTAATGCAGTAGCACTTAATCTGGTTGGGTTTATAGATAGGAAATGTACCTGCAGCATTCTTGTTTCTGAGTTTGTTTCTTCATGGTTGAATATTATTGTCAGTCGCTTTGGATAAAAGCACCAGCTAAATGAAATGTAATCCAAATGTAATGTCAATCCAAAGCGTATATATTTTCTAAATACTAAAACATCGACTACACTAGGCCAGAGATTTAAAAAAATATATAGGATACCATTACTATTTTGTGAAACACACCACACTCCACCAACACAAACTGTACACTATAAAACGTTTTTTTCCTTTATTCCTGGTTACAAAATGGATCAAATGCAGGTATTGTTTCAATATTACTTGAAAATTATGTCGAGCCTTAATAATAACATTCGTTATAATTCTCAGGACAGAGGTCATGATCTTACGCTGAGATTGAACTCAAATAAGATATTTTTAACCATCAGAATGAAGAAACATATGGCCTCCAGGTTAAAGGAGCTCTCTTTAATGAAAACATAAATCACCCATGAGAATATCTTCCTCTGTATCCTCAGTGCATGAGCAATGCAAATATATAACGTGGTAATAACACAGAGGATTCCCACAGCTACTGCTTGTTTTCATGGGGATATGAATCGGCCCTGTGTTCTCTAAGATAAGATCGGATTAAATTAAAAATGATTCCTAAGGGAAGCTGAGCTATTACAGCAGCTAATAAGTTACAGAAAAACAAATAAAGCAAAGAGTGAAAGCACATAAACCATGTGAAAACTGCAGCACTAGGACGTCCATGAAAAAAGGATGCATGAACATATTACGTGGGTGTGCATCAAGAGAATAAAGTAGTAGTATCAGTGTTGAGCTGCAATAAACAAAGAGTCAAATTATCAAAGCTCAATGTGAGCTGTGGTGATATTCTGTGAGAAACGTTCTACATCTGTGAATAAATGGCCATACTGCAACTTACTTTAAAGCAGGGGTGGGGAACCTCCGGCCCCCGGGCCTTATACGGCCCGCGAGACCATTTGGTGTGGCCCTCGAGGTAATTTATAAACACACGCAAAAAAGAAAAAAATTAAAGAAATCTAGACCGCAAAATAATTAAACAAGTGAGTACCTGTTTTTCCTGGCCAAGGTCAGGGTCCTTGAACACAACACAAGCCTAACGTGTCATCACGTGGTATATGTCTCGTCTGACAGGGGTGCAGTTCTGACGGAGAGCACCAGAACGCCGCTCCGCTCCGGCACTTCCAAAAATTGCAGTACCCATAAGGAGCCGTACACATGCAGTAGTTTTTGCGTGTCTGTGTCTTTAGTTGAAAGCCCAGTGGTGATCTGTTCATCTGTCATACTGATCATACAGTCAATAACTTTGTTGTTATTAGCATCTGGTTAGCTAGCTATGCTAATGAATATAAGAAGCTTTTTCTCCAACCAGTGAGGTAAAGGCACATCTTTATATGATCATTATAGTTATAAAAAAATAAGAGAATAAAGTAAACAGGTATAAAATACTATATGACAGTAAAAAAAAAAGTTGTTATTAATAAACAAGAATACAGGTTGAAAGGAGAGTGATTTGTAAAATATCCATAAAGAAAAAGAAATCTGCTTCCAGTTCCGTTTCATCTGGGTGTTGAGAGATGTATCCATAGATCTCCTAATGTTGCTCTCAGTGCACCAGATTGATGCTTTTAACTTCAACATTTAAAAACAAATCTTCCCAGGGGAGGGACCCCCCTAGAGGAGGTTAGGTCCCCCCCACTTAAATCATGTTCACATGGATAGGAGTCTAAATACATTTGCACACATCTTGTGTCCATATATTTCTGTTTGGGTGGTCATGCCACACCGTGCACGTGCATGCATGCGCGAGTCATGGCAAGATATCTGGATTAAGAGGTTGCTTTTTCTTTGCACAGCATGAAAGAAAGGTGAAATGAGTGGGCTGTGATTTTAGTATTTTTAAGCAGAGGTCAATCATTTGTACGGCCCTCGGAGAATGTTGAAAACATTGAAATGGCCCTTGAGAGGAAAAAGGTTCCCCACCCCTGCTTTAAAGAGTCCCTATTCTGATGTTTGGGTTTTCCCTCTCCTGTAGTGTGTTCTGTAGGTTTCTGTGCATGTTAATGGTCTGCAAAGGCTAAAGTCCCTGAGTTTCTCTCACACACTCCCCTTTATTTTTATTTTCCTTAATTGGCTTTGATTTGAACTATTCACCAGAATGAGCTGCCTCGTTAGAACAATTATTTGTAACATTCTTGAACCAATTCCCATAACCTGTCAAACACTATACATTTTTTTTTCTTTTTAAATCATATACATTGCTATTTCAGATTTGTACTTTTGTGTGTGCAGATGTAAAAAGACTGAGGTATTTGTCCTCGATGTTCTGTGCAGCATGTAAGCATATAATAAATGATGTGTACTATGACTCAGTTGTATGCAGACATTATTGTGTATTTGTAAAGGACCATAACTCCTCCTGTGGGTCTGTACTGTAAGTAAAGGCTGTACAAAAAACTGTTATCAGGTTAGAATTTCTTGGTTTGAATCATTTTTGCCCTCTTTATTGTCAGAAAACATCTTGAATGTTAGGGGTTTTACCTGCTTATTTCTGACACTGCTTGTATTACAATTGTATTTATAGAAGTTCTTATTGCTGAAAAAGCTGTATAATAAAATAATAAACACTCTATTATGTCCTTATATCTGTCTATTATGTTGTTTTAAAACCATGTATTAAATGTTTGCCTATAACTGCTTTTTAAATATGCTTCAAAGAGCATTATACATACCTCACCATGCACAAGTTGTTCTGCTCCCTGAAGTATTAAACACTACAAGCATCCATTCTGTTTAAGGGCACACAAACATCACACACACGTACAAATGCAGCCTCTAAACGCACATGTATGCACAGATGCACGCATTCACAAGAACTTGAAATGTATGCAGCGCCCACGCTCTCATAAACTCAAGCAGCGCTCTGTCCCTCCTCATGAGCTCCAGAGGGAAGACGCTGCATTTTTAATCACAGAGTTGGTTCACAGCAGCGACGTGCCAGAGGGCGATTTCACTTCCTGGTTTCAGGTTGTGCTGAGGATAGATTCATACAGACACCAACAAAATGTTGTCCCTGTCCTTTCTTGAAATGGTCCCACAGGCTTTTGTGAAATATTTGTTTTTTAAGTATAGTTTTCTGGGTATTTATTTCCAATTTTCCGGTAATAGGGATGGTTAAACTTCTATGATTTTATGGATGAATAAAATTATAGCTCAGCTTGGAAGTTATTACTTGAAAAAGAAGAAGGAATTCATCAAAACATAAGTAAAAAAGACTAAAGAGCTAACAAAATCTTTAATGCCACCTATTGGTACTTATTGAGATGCTTCTGACAGACTTTATTGTGAAATTTCAAAGGATATGACTCCTCAGGGTGTGGTTGTGAATATGTGTGTATGTATATAAAAACTATGACTCAGTATCTATAACCTTGATGGCAGGCTCATTTGACTTCCGGCAGTTTTTTCCTCTAACACACACACACAGAAAAAATGTCTCCCACACACACTTGCATTGCTAAAGTGACCCGGGGGAGTGCGGCCGGTAGAATGTGGACTATGTTGGTAAAAATAGCTTCTTCCACCATCACTAAAATACTCCCAGGCTTAAACCAGGCCTGACATTATTCCTTTAGGAAAGTGAAAGATGACACAGACAGAGAAAGACACAGAACTGAGATTTTAAAGTATTCCAGGAAAGCCTGTTTTTTTGGCAGCATCTCTCTGACTTCAAATGTGTCTGTTTTACTTAGAGCAGGAAATAACTTTTCTGTAAACACATCGCTTGAAGCTACATCCCAAAATTAGGACCTCTGAAAAATGTTTGCTTTCCCATCAGACCGGTGACAAATTCATCCCAGCTGAGCAGGACAACTTTAGAGCAACATAACACAGGTCATGAATGTGATGGATCATTTTCTGCCTTTCCAGAGGTTTAGAATTGGGAGAATGCAATCATCTAAAGTACCATGGTACCGAATGAATCACACACAAGCGGAACAAAATGCTGTCAAACTGGACGTTTTTAGACCAACAGGTAATTAAGGGAAACATTTTTGAGAATCTATCTAAAGCTGTTGCATGAACAGCATTCTGTGCATACTTCATAAGTAGAGGAAATAAGGGGGCTGGGGATGAACTGAGAGAAAGTGGAGGACAACCCCTGCTGGGCTCATAAATCAAAATCAAGGGGAGGGTGAGGAAAAGGGGGCAGGGAGAAGAAGAGAAGCAGGAAGAGAGGATAAGAAAGGAATGAGGAGGGGGATACATGTGGGAAACGTGCCAAAGAAAGTGTTTATGCATATGACAGATACCAACCATATGCCTGCGAGTAAGAACGAGTGTGTTTGTTGTCACAGAGGGAGATGAAAGATGTAGCTGCTCTGCTTTAACCAGCCGAGGGTTGTGGTACACGCAACACCACGTTGTTGCAGGAGATTGTTAAAATGTGCTAAATGTGTCTATAAATACATTAAGCTCCTCCTCAGGCCACAACTGTAGTTAACAGAAGTTAACTTCAGTAAAAGTGGAGGCCGGGCGTGGGCTGGTGGGGAATAACGTGTCAAAAAACTCTGGTGAAAACTACGCAGCTGCTTCTGGTATGCTTTTACTCCACACACACTTGTTGGATTGCCCCTACACACACTGTGCTCACTTCCCACCTACTGCTCACTGCTGTGTTCATCCATCGTTTGGAGGATGAGTGCGGGATTATTCATCGTTTTCTCTGAAGTTTTGAAAAGCTAACAAACATCTTACCTGCGTATGCGTGGAGGTTTTGGAGGCGGGGTGTCCCATCTCTCATCATCTGACTGCTGGCTTGTTTTATCTGGACTGTTTTCCTCCTGGACACACACACACACAAACACACACACACACACACACAAACACACAGACAGACAGACACACACACACGGACACACACACACACACACAAAGACATGTTTGAGTTTAAGTTCCACGATGGTTTCATACCACTGGAATTTGATGATTTAGTTAAGAAAGAGGTCTCCATTACATCATGGGACTGAAAAACGTATCCTTCAGTCACAACTCTCCAATAACCAAGTCTTAGGAGTGAAAAAAATGATTTCTGTAATAATTATAATAATGCATTTCAATTTATATATTGTTATTTGCTTTTTCCACTGAAGTAATGATAAGAATAAAACAATCTATGAAGACCAAATTATATTGAGTTGAAATAGATTTTTATAAACCTTAAGTAGCCTCGTAAATTGTGTGCCAAATACCTCAATCAAACTATTTACATTTTCGGGGTGTGTGGGAGAGAAACTCCCTCTGGAGAGGGAGCACAGGGATTTTAGTCTTTGCAGACCATTTACACAGAAAGCTATAGAACACACTACAGGAAGTATAATAGAGCCTCTTTAAAGAGATCTCCCTCCAGCTGAGAGATTGTTCTCTATCAGTGCCCTTCTAACTCTCTCCTCTCTAGATGTTTCTGGAGCAGAGGCAGGAAGTTGCTTCACTGAAAGATTGAAATTGTTCCTGAAAGAAGCGCTCCTCCTCCCGCCTAATCTTCCCTTTCTTCCTCTCATCCTTCAGCTTCCTCCTCCTCTCCTCTCCTCCCCGTGACTCATTAATTTGATTCTCTCTCTCCACTGATAAATAGAAGATGACGGGACAACTTCAGGCGTCAAAAACTCAACACAGAGGGGCAAATGAGGCCACATGAGCTCTTCCTTCAGGGTTCATGATGAAAACACAGTGTGCTGTGGAGATCATTTGGTGGGAAAAGTCCCTGCTAACAATGCAGCGCCTGCATCATTTCCAAAGTGCTTCCACAGCAGTGACACACATCTGTGGATAATCATTTATACGAAAATGGTTAAAGCAACCATCACTAAACGCCAGCAACACTGCATCTACTGCAGACAGTAGCAACAGGTCAGATGGGGACATCACGTGACCCTCCGTTGTGGACACGAGCTTACTCCCGCCTGACTCACCGCCCTCGCTCCCGGAGCAGTAGTCTTCGTCTCCCCAAACTACGCCGCCCCTCTGCGGCCCGCAGAGGATACCACGGCAAAACAGAGCCTGCCCAGGTATATCTAAACAAGTACTCGCCTGTACAGTGGGGTTAGGCGGTCATTTTGCAGCTTGTGGTATAAAAATAGACAATGGAATATTCATGTGAAAATAGATTAATATTCTGCCATGCCTGTAGAAATGTTGGGTCAAATAATGCATACAATAGCACAGATGCCTTCACCACGAATGGCTACAAAAATATCTCATATCCCAAGCTTATCAACGAGCTAATGTTGCAGCTGAAATGTTCTCCAGGTCACAAAGTCAACCTCACATGATGATGTGATACCAGTTTTCCAGCACAGTAAATATTCTCTTCCCAGAGTATATGATGGGACCAAGGTGATGATGTAGTACATGGTTTTAATAATACGTTTGCTTTTCAATGTTTGCCATTTCAAACCATGAGCTGGTTCAAATAATATTTGCCTTGATTTACAATATGTTCTCATTTCTTTTATCAGTACAGTTTTGAAGCTTCTGTGCTCTTCTTTGCCACAGTCCACTTTGGACTATATGAAATATTTCAGGATTGCACTTTTAACACACTTGAAATGTTCTCACTTGCTTGGTTTCAAAACATAACAAATGCCATAATCTGTTCATTGGGGACCATCAATGCTATTTTTCATTGCTGTTGCCGGCCACTATTGCTCATGTAAACCTACTACTGCTGCGCCCCCTGTAATCTCAGAGGCACCCTGAGTCATTTTGTTCTGGAGCCGGGCCTGTACACGGCCATATACTAAACACACTACAGAGCCCATTCCGTGTCCTGTTATTGTTTACTTCCTCTCTGCCTTCTTCTGGTGATTTATCTGACGTCCAGCGCTCCGTCTTTTAACCTCTTTTCCTTTCTCTTTCTTGATCCTCCTTAGCAACCTTCATTATAGTCCTTGACAGTGGTCTGTACTGCTGTATTAACAACGTGTCACATGTTAAGAAGTTACAATCAGAATCAAGTATTCAACTAAGCCGTGTAATACAAGTTGTTAGTAGCCTTAAGGGCCTACACAGTTGTTATGCTATACCACATTGCCCTTCACTGGATGTATAATGAGCTGCACTAAACTACATTTTAGCATTTAAAATACCTAGCCATTCTTTTGCGGTTATTTTTGGTGAAAGTAACTAAAAAGTAAATAAAAAGTCGTGTAACTCATTACATTTCAGAGACAGTAATACTGTAATGTAACGTATTACTTTCAAAAGAGAGTAATAAGTAATATATTACATTTTGGAAGTAACTTGCCCAACACTGGTGTGTGTGTGTGTGTGTGTGTGTGTGTGTGTGTGTGTGTATGTGTGTGTGTGTGTGTGTGTGTGTGTGTGTGTGTGTGTGTGTGTGTGTGTGTGTGTGTGTGTGTGTGTGTGTGTAGGCTTATTGTTGACTGCCATTGAGAGCACCTATTACCTCATTCACACCAACGCAACTCCGGTTCAAGCTCCGTGCTAGAGCTTTTCAGGTTCAGAAGCGGTTCTTCGGTTTAGCTCCGGCTCTTTTCACACTGCCCAGAGTCCATTTGGTGCTGCGTTATTGTGTCACCGTTTGCGTCATGACGTAACCGTTTGCGTGCCTGCTTCTTAAAGCCAAACCGCGCGGAAACCCCTCACAGCTCACACCGACAACAACAACAACGGCCGATTGTGCTCCAGCTTCCTCTGTACCTCTTCGGAAGACCAGATTCCCAGTAGGTAGCTGGTCTCTTCAGTGGACCACTGCTGCTTGTTAAGTTTATCCATCGTTGTGTACAAACTGGATTAAACGCGGGCTTTTTGTTGTTGTTCAGGAGTTGATCCCGCCCCTGCCCCCGCCTCGACGTAAGTGTGACGTTTAGCGGTGCTTTTGCTCTAGCCGGACAATTTTTTGGTGCTTGAAATGAACCGGATTCCGGAGCTAAGAGGCTGCTCCGCTGCAGTGTGAACAGGAAAACCCGGTGCTTTTCAAGCTCCAGTTCCGAACCGGCCCTGAAACACCGTTGGTGTGAATGAGGTATTGGTGGGTGTTTGAGTCACTGACAATGGCTGACTGGACATGTGTGTGTGTGTGTGTGTGTGTGTGTGGTGTGTGTGTGTGTGTGTGTGTGTGTGTGTGTGTGTGTGTGTGTGTGTGTGTGTGTGTGTGTGTGTGTGTGTGTGTGTGTGTGAGAGAGAGAGAGAGAGAGTGTGTGTGTGTGTGTGCTCTTGGACTTGGTGTAAGATAATCACAAGGTTACAGTGAGTAGCAACACACTTGATGTTCACACGCCTACACTTAACAAATTATTAATAAAAACAAACTTTGAGACAATTAAAAGTTTACTGCAGTTCAGTGGACAGGTTTCAGGTTTAAAATAAATATATATAAAAATCCTCCTGACTCTCAAAGTCTTTATCATCACATCTAAATTGTTACTATGTATATAATTGCGAGAAATAAAGTATCCAGAATTCAGTTTTAATCTTTTTTTAGTATATATAATAGTTGAATTTAGTTTAGGAGCTGTTCTTATTAACTTTGATTGTGTGTTTTGATCCTAAATGCTTGGTCATTTCCAGAGTAAGGATTAGAAATGTGAGTTCTTATGCAACAAATAAATATGATGTTTTATTTGAGATATTAATACATTTCTGGCTTACATGATCGACTGTGTTGATGAAATTCCAGATTATGTTATAAAATAAAACAATTTAAACTGAGTTTCCTCAAAAGCAAGGACGTTCCTATCTTTAAAAAAACATAACCATTAAAATGAAGCTTTTCCCAAACAGTGTAGAGAGTGTGGGTCTTTCTAAAGTCAACATGGCTGTGTGTCCCTGTGACCGTCTCTTGGAAGGGTCTCCCTTTCCCAACAGATGTGTGTCTATTCTGAGACACAAAGTGCATTATGGGAGAGGGGTGATGTCATCAGAGCTTCGTAAGCAGGAAGTGGACTGGAGGTCTGTGGGTGTTTCTCAATCTCGAGTAAAGCTGCTCCAGAGCCACTATTTCAAGCATGCTACGTCATCGAGTGCCACCAAAGGACTGTTCCAATGTCCAGCATACTTGGAATTCTACCGAGCCCAGCGTACTTCGTAGCGAGACATTTCGAGGCTGCACATGTGTAGACTCCGCGGTCTTAAAATCCCCACAATGCTTTGCGCACGGACCAATTTCCCCAAATCTGTGGCGGAAAATGTAAGGCGGGGCTTCTCATATGACACACACTTGCTCGCCTGTTCCACTCTTCGTTTTCCGAATGCCAGGAAATATTCTTGCCTCGCTTCTGAAGCAAGTGACTCGGAAGACATGTGCTACCAAGCAAGCGTACTCGACATTGCGAAACACCCAGTGTGTCCTCTGTGTTTGGGTCTGTCAGTCTCTGTCTCACTTTGTCTTTCATCTTCACGAATCAGTGTGGGGAAGTGGTGCTTCAACCAGTTTCACTACATTTTCTAGTGGCAGTCTAGTAGAGTAGCTCTTTCTATTATCACGCTACCTTTCTAGATGTTAGAGCCATTAACATTATTTTTGATCTAACGTGGATATATCTGATAGATATATTTGAGTTAAAACGTTATTTATGAAATATTATATTTAGAACCATTAAGATATTTATGTGATCTTATATTTATTTATATATTTATTTTTTGATACGGACACTTTTTGTGAATGAACATTAAATGGACCAGACACTTTCCATTCTGTCTCTGAGAATTGCCTGACCAGAATAATGATATTGGGATGTTTCACTAGTAAAGAGGCATTTATTTCAAAATGTAAATCCTAGACATTGTTGAAATTCTGCTTTGCCATCCCCCATCTTAAGTCCCAATATTCCAAAAGTGGTATAAGAATAATGCTTATTTCTGATGTAAATCAACAGTAGATGCTGTTAGGTGCACTTGAGTTGAACTCAGCTTCAGTCTGAGCGGATTGTAGGGGAGGGAGTGTATAGTTTCCGCATTTGAACTACAATGAAGAGTAGCTTGTAGCTTCATTAGTTTCAAAGTAGCTTCCCCCAGTCTGCTATACAATGATGTGGTATGATGGACGGCAGCTACATACAACACCTGATTGGATTGTATACAAAATGTAATCTTTCAGCATTGCACTTCAAGCTAAGATGAGTCACAGAGGACAGTTCTGGTACTGCTTCTCAGCTTTTCCTGTATGTTACATACACTTTTTGGGTTTGGTTGCAATTGAGTGTGTGTTTTGGGGCAACTGAGGATAGTGAAGTCAAATTAGAAAGAGGGCAGTGTGGACTGACACAGCAAGGTTTTTTCTAACAGTATAGAGTCCCTCCCCTGCAGAGGAGAGGTCTGTTTTCAGACTCTTTTTCTGTCTGTGTCAAAAGCAAAGTTTTCTGAAGGCCTCTCTTCCCGCTCCCTTCTCCTCCCACCCTCTCCCTCTCCTGTGACTAATTATTTGTGTTTCTTTCCCACTCCGAGTGCGTTACTCAGCGACATCCTGTCTTTCTTTAACACCAGACAGCATGCACAATATGTGTGTGTGTGTGTCATACCATGCCATCGTGTATCTGCGTGTTGGCGGGGCTCTCCAGTAGCTGCAGTTGTTTTTCAAAGAGCTGGGCAATCGCTCTGTGAACCAACTCGTACTGCTCCTAGGGAGACAAAGAAAGAGGGAGAAAGATAGAGATAGGTGAGGTGAAGGAGAAGGGAGGACAAAAATGGGTTTTTCGGAAAATCAATATAAAAGCAATAACATTCTCATGTCTGTGCTCAAAAACATCAATTTACAAGGCTGTGGAATACAACCTGTGTGAAAACAACAGAAGGGCCTCGCCCGATGCACGCTGATATAATCACATTATGTTCCCGGTGAGGCAGTAAGTGTATTGCAATGCATTTTCCGAAATTACATTACAGTTACCGGCTCCCAGCAGTCTCTATCAAAGGCAATTCTATGAGATCTCTAACAGGGCTCTTTTTATGTGTGGGAGGAGACATCATATATAAGCAGCAAATGAAGATGGGCGCTTTGTTCAGACTATAACACTCATTATTTTTTTATGAATGCTGCCTAAAGATTTTAAAGAAATGGCTAGAAAATGAAGATCCTCCCAGGTCAAACCGCTGGAACCGGTTACAGATAACGGAGGGAATGTGTGGACCCCGGGCTAGGAAGCATTTTGAAGCAGGTGTGCAGCAAGGAACACAGAAGGAAGAGACATGACCCGGGCTATGGAATGGAGGAAACGCTGCCACTACTGTCACTCAAATGGGGAACCATATAAAAAAGACAGAAATAACTTGAAGCAACTTCTCGTAAAGATTATACAGATAGAATGCTTGTTACGCAGTATTATTTGTCCTTACGTGTTTAATATTGCCTAAAAATAATGAATAATTTTTCTAAACAAGATTTGCATCCTCTGGGGTAAGAAACTTGGTGTTTCAATTAAACATTGAGACATTTGTGCTGGTGGAATTATGTTCATTTGACAACCAGACACACATCACACAATGTTGATCTTAGCTCAGAGCTTCCCTGTTTGAAGGAAGCTTAGCATTAGCATCAAATCCCTAATTATTATTCTATAACTACTGAACATTATTCCAATAAATTTGAGTCATGTGTATTTCAGTTAATTGACCTTAAATGGTGATACTTGTCTGTGTGTGATAACAAAAAGTGAAGAACAAACCTTGGTCTGAACAGCAGAGTGTCGTTGCGTCCTCATCTCTTGGATCAACCGAAAAACATTAAAATCTTCTGGTATTTTCTGTAGAAGCACAAAACAAAGGTGTTAATTCCCACTTGAATCTCCACATAACAGTTACCCTGTGTATTTGAACAGGTATGATTTAGATAGTTAGTGTGTGTGTGTGTGTGTGTGTGTGTGTGTGTGTGTGTGTGTGTTCACATACCCCAGCTTTCAGGAGGTTCCATGTGTAGTCGATAGCACAGATAGCACCCGTCCTCCCACAGCCTGCACTGTATAATCAGTCAGAGAGATAAGATTCAACAGAAGCAGACACATGTATGAAGACACATATACACTCCTGAGCTTTATCCTTGTCATTGCAAATATTAATCCACTTACAAACAACTCTGGATTTCAGTTTGTGAGAAAACAATAAAAGGAGTACCGACAACCACAACACCTCAGCAGACAGGATGGAGACAGGAGCTACGGAGTATGTGGCATTATGTCCGACACATAAAAACATAAACTCTATCTCATGCTGTCACAGGGCCTCTGCGGTGTGTGTGCACACAGACAGTAGAGCGCACCACACATCTTTACAGGAGCAGCTCAGTCCTGCTGTGTAACAGAGGAACCAGGAAACATCCGCAGGCTGCTCATTCGAGCTGATTATACACACATGGAGACGGTGTGTGTGTGCTGTGTGGATACCCACGCATGTGTGCAGCATAAACCTATAGTTTCATGAATCAGTGTGTTTTGCATGTTAATTTCCCCAAATTAAGTTCTTTATTGGTGGGAATTGCCATTCATCTTTGAGTCATTAATGTTTTGCCAAGACCCTTAACAATACAGTAATCCTATCTCATAACTATATTAGCTATTATAAGATTCTCAACAAGATAAGTTAGAGAGGACATATTAGTGTTTCCCCTAGGATGGAGTCATAGCAGCGGTGCTAAGGAACGTGGGCACAGCATAATGTGAGCGCGGAGCGCGTGGATTTTTTTTAGTGTGTGCGCGTGCGAACTGCACCCCGCCAATTTCATTCTATGTGTCTGCCAGCACAAGAAAGGCTCTTGAGGCCTAGTGCCAGGGCCGGTTCTAGATAATTTGCTGCCCAAGGCAAGATTTTATAAATAAAGAATAAATGAAAAATCTCTACAAAAGACAAATACACTACAAAAACAGAAACTTATTGACATAGGTAATATACGTCAAAATTGCTTCAAATGTATTCAGTATTGTATGAACATGTTTGAAATGGAGGCTGGACGTCACATCCTCTAGGGGGGTCCGGGGGTATGCCCCCATCCGAAGATTTTTTTGAACATTTTAAAGTAAAATGTTTCAATCTGGTGCACTTTGAGCACACAATTACTAGAGACCTGATCTAGGGGGTACAACTCTAAAACACCCATATGAAAAAGATCCGTTTACATTTTAAGTGCCTTGGAAATATGTGTTGTGTAACTATCTAAACACTCAGAGAGTCCTTTACCTAACTGAGCCTCTCAGTCTGACAGGAGAGCTCTCCTCCACCCTGGTTGTAGAAACATCTACTTCTTATATTCGTTAGCGCAGCTAGCACCAGATTCTAATAACAACAGCTCCGGTACCGGTGCGCCCTCTCTCTCTCTCTCTCCTACGCTCGCTCTATCGCTCCCATGCTCGCACTTTGGCTGTGAGCTGCGGGCGCCTGATAAGCCAACATCCCCCACTTTCATCACTTACAGCGCCCATCGTACAGGGCAAATGAAAAGTGTAACCGGGGTGAAAAGGGTGTTACATTTACTTAATTATGAATGTTGTTACATCAAGGCCGAAAATTAGGATGAGCGCCAACGGTCAAAAATGTTTTTTCCCCTCCCAGAGCTACCAGCGCAGGGCCCCCCAGATCTGGCGCCCTATGCCAAAAATCGGCCCTGCCAGTACATACAGTGGCAATGTCTCAAGATTTAGCAAAAATACACCTTTATTGAACATACAGTAACACAAATACTACAAATTCACATAACAAACAATCAAACATGAAAAAGGGTCGCCACTTATTATTTTAATAATAATAATAAAAAAATTTAAAAAACAGGCTGGCGCTCCCTAGCAGCGGCGCGCATATTTCAGCAGCGGCGCGCATATTTCAGCAGCGGCGCTGCGCCGCCACTATTTGTAGGGAAACACTGCTCCTCATTTTCAGGTGACATGTCTCCATGCTTTAATGTTCAAATGCTTTATTTTTCTCAAAGGCCTATCTAACAGGAAAGGGAAACCCCCAAAAGCATAACAGGGGCTCTTTAAGATAAACTATGGAAGGATACATAGTTTACCAAATCTACATTATATATCAGCAAATGATTAAACACAAGTTCTAGCTTTCGCCAGAAGTAGTTGCATATGTGTGTGTCTGGTCTAACTACAGTGTTCAAACTTGGAACTCAAAACACACACACACACACAATAATGCCAGCCATCTGTTGCAAATTCTCACTGCCTCCTCAAAGAAAACAACTGGCCATCTCATGAATCATACAATTCAATTTGAAAGCATAAGCAAGTAGAACATGTGAGTCTTTAACTAGAACAGGCAATTGGAGAGTGAGGTATAATTTAATAAATAATAAACATCACATCAGTCTTTTTTTTGTTGCGTTGCCTTAGTTACAGTACATGCAGCAATGGATTTGAGTCTGCACAGTCTGTCCGTGCTGACCTACCTGCAGTGCACACATATAGGAACATCATCGTTCTCTTGGTATTCCCTCATCAGTGCGATCATATCCAGTATGGAGTCAAACGATGAGGGGACGTCGTGATCCGGCCAGTTCATATAATGGAACTGTGTTAGCCTCCGGTTTTCCTACACACACACACACATACGGAGGGATTTTTTTTAAGAACATTTAATTAGAACAAATGGTCGATGGAAGGACAGGGAATTGAATCATCAGGCAAAGATGAGCAGCCTAAGTGAATGTGGGGGCGATATGCATTTCATTACTTTTAGTGGAGTTACACAGTGATGATATGAACATATTTGTAGCATTGTTGATTATTTGTACGTGATTTTGCATACATTTCCAATATTGACTTTTTATTGTGAGGACTGGCAGGGGCAACAAAAGAACGTTTACAGTGTCAGAAGACTTACATTCTCATTCTCCACGGTCAAAGTCCTGATAAAGTAGTCTGTTCTGGCCTGCTCTGACTCCTGCAAACAGCAGAGACAGGGAGAACATTAACACAATCCTTGACTAAAACGCCATTAGAACAAAATGTGAGAAATGCAGGAGCCCAGACCACCCGCCCCCTTTTCTCCATACACTCTCCGTACACACACACACAGCTGTGATATTAGAGATTTGTCTACTTACACAGGAGATTCTGAAGGGGCCAAAACTCATTGGCTCCTCCCCAAGCAGCGGGAAATACCGCTCACACTTTTTCTAACGAGAGAAGCAAAGGCGTTAGCTTTGGCTGAGAACAACACACCAGACAAATACCACAGCTTCCTATGCACACACACGTTCTGGCTCAGAATAAACAATTAATGTGGAACATCAGCAATGACAATTACAGAAAACAATTACTGAATATAAGATACTATAACCATATGTGCAAAACTGACATTTGTAGTTACATATGCTCGTTATCTGAGACATCAATCACACTTTTTTATCAGTCAGTTCAGGCTTTGGTAACAGCCTCCAGCAACTGACAAACACACTGATGGAACCAAAGACATAGTGTATGAGGACACATTAACACACACATAAGCGTGCACTGGAACGCACACAGAGGGATTAAATATCAGGGCCTTACCCTTCCCATTTCAAACTCTCGACAAGCCATCACAATAACCTGCAGGGACACAAACAGGAAGGATTACAAATCAATATTTATACTCACGGATAAATCGTACATTTCCCAAAAGATTGCTTCCTTCCTTTATGTTCTATGTATGCAATGCTGTAGTTCCGAAATGAGGTGCACACCCTGCAGAATATTAAAAGCTTTAATAGAGAGTGGCTCAACCTTTCTGTATTTTAAATTCAGTCCAGCAGACTTCAGATCACTTTGATCCTACAGGAGTAATTATCCCAGCTGCAACGTCCCGAGTGTGAGCTGAACCTTATCACAGCTCCCCCCTTTCTGTCCATCTGCTTCAACCATACGCACCCCCCATCTGTCTGACATTAAATATGTATTTCCCTACTTTAATTATTGTCCCCACACAAAGCGGTAGGTTACATCTTTCTGTTGCTATTCTATTGGACCCAGAGGCCCTGCTCTATGCTAACAGCCTCCTGCTCTCTGAATCCTCCTGTCTGCTTCCCCCATCCTCTAAGCCAGTGGTTCCCAACCTGGGGGGCGCACCGCCCTTGGGGGAGCATCAAAGATCGCAGGGGGTGCGCCAGGCCTCAGATGATTTGAGGCCAAATATCATATTTAGCCTTTTTTTTTTTTCTTTTCATATAATTGTAACGCAATACATGATTGTCGCTAAAAGCCTTGTCTCTACATTACAATAAAATATAAAAAATAATTGACTAATTAATTTTAATAAAAATTCAAGTGAGTATTAAAGGCATAAAAAGACAGAAATGTATAATTCTTTCTTTAATAGAAATGTTTCTTCAGCCCATAAAGTGTCCAAACCAGGCTTTTCTGGATAAGCGCATTTTTAAAACATAGTCATTGTCCATGCCGGTTTTCAGTTGGATTATTTGTCACAGTTGCTCCGATCAGATCGGTCTCCTCCATTTTGTAGATTATTTACGACTTTTGAATCCACATAAACACATCAGCAAAATCCGGCTTACTTTGAGCATGTGTTTTAAACAGTTTAATGCCTTTGTGAATTGTTTCCACTTGCGCCGTCCTTTAATTTCTTCATACAGCGGGAATCCAAATGAATTAATCCCGAGTCCAATAACCATCAAAGTCACTCCAATAGTGCTCCTTAATTACACTTTCATCCTCCTTTAACAAAATACTTCACATTCATCCAGTTTGTGACAGTAGTTGTAGCATTTTTGAGACTTTGAACCCCCCCCTTGTGTGTGTGGGGGGGGGGGGGGGGGGGGGGGAGGAAACTTCCAACAGGAATCATTTGGGGGGGCTCTTGGGAAAAAAGGTTGGGAACCCCTGCTCTAAGCCATACTCACAGCTACATTATACTCCCAGTTCATCCTCCAGAAGTCGATGACAGTGTTCTGCAGGGGGCCCTGAGTTGCAATATACGCCTCCGGGCCATCCATACCCTGAAGGGAGCGAAAGAAAGCAAGATCACAAATCCATCCTGTTTTTACACACTTTATCTCCCTCTCATTCATAGAGCACTTTATACCACATATATCTTCCTAACACTGTAATCAAAGTGTCAAACAATAAAAGGCCTTCCAGGTGCTTTCTTTTACCTTGATGAAGTTAGCATTGACGTAATCCGAGTCATTATTGGTTGTTTTTAAAGTCAGCTTCACCCTGGTGTGGTCAACTGTGGATAGACAGAAAGAAAGAAGTCTTTACTTTGGTGCACTTTAAGTATTTCCTACTTGCAGAGGCAGAAATGAAACAAGACAAAGAGAAAAGAGTGGATTGCAAAGTAGGATAAAGCGAGAGACAAGGGGAGGACAAGTAGGAGAGAAATGTAAAATAAGGTTAATGGACACAGCGCATCCTCATTTCTGTGTGTGTGTGTGTGTGTGTGTGTGTGTGTGTGTGTGTGTGTGTGTGTGTGTGTGTGTGTGCAGTCACATCTGTTACGGATGAACCGCTCTTCCTTTGCCATATAAGCAGCTCATTCACTAAAAGCTTTAAAGGTCCCATGTCATGGCCATGGTGCTGAGGGGGCTGCAGCAGCACCCCCATCTGTGAGGCTCCACTCGCAAGCGGCGCACCTACAGTGGAAGCACGCCACAGTTTGGCCGCTGCGAGGCTCCACTAGCACCCCCCCCCGCGCGTCACAGTTTTGCCCCTGAGAGAGTGTGTGTGTGTGTGAGGAACTCCACGGATTGGTTAACCAATGGGTTAATTTGGGTATGATCACGTCACCATACCCAGGAAGAAACAAATGGAAAAAGAGAAATCTCCAACGAGGCGTTCTGGGGCAGCATAGACAGGTCTCTTCTGTGTTAGAGTTTTACTCGCTACAGGGTGTACTTTGAGGGTTTGTGACTCTGCAGACCGTTTACATGCAGAAAAACCTTCATAACAGACAAGGGGATGGGTGATAACCAGAAAAGCATGACATGGGACCTTTAATGAATGAATGAGTGGGTGGATGGAAGGAAGGAGAAAAAGAGGACAAAGGTATAAAAAAAAAGAAAGTAGAACAGATGTTGGGTCAGGGAAGCTCCCCCTGAGGTCACTAATGGCGCATTTCCACTGCAGGGCCTCGCTCGGCTTAGTACGGAATGGCTAGGCCAGGCTCACATTATGCTGCGTTTCCATTACAGTTTAGGAACTGGGGTAGTAACTATAGTAACGCAGTGTAGGCGGAGCCGTTACGTCAGGGCTATTCAATTACAAATTCAGTTGGGCCAGATTTTATAACTACTAAATTCAGCTGGGCCAGACATTCAGCGGCCTGTAAAAAGCGGGTAATGACAAATTTTAAACCAACACATATTACTGCGATGAAAAACATGCAATTTTTATTCATCCTTCATCTAACAAAGGCACGTCAAAGAGTGCATAAAAACACAACAAATTAGCATTAATTTAACAGAATCTGAGGCATCTCAAAGTGCATACAAACCAAAAAGTGCACAGTTGTAGCATTACATTTGTTTGCTTTAGAAGTAAAATATTCAGGTTATTTTTTTTTAACCAGGCACATCACAAAGTGCATTTAACCGAATACAATAATAGCAGTCTTAATAAATGTCTTCATACATACAAAATAAAATTGGATACATATGACACATGCACATCAAAAAGTGCATTAACAAACAGTTAAAGAGCTCCAACTAACATGAATCAATACTACACTACACGTCTACTAGTAAACTAGGTGCTTACTATCACCTCATTTGTGATTTGTCATCGCTGACTTTCTCAATGGGAGAAGTGACATTTTCTGTTTTGAACAAGAGCAGTGATTTTTGGCTCATAGGATGTCAATGCAATCCTAAGACATTGGTGAAGAGTGCTGTCAGTCAGGGAGCAGCGAGTGCTACTTTGTATTGAGTTCATGTGTGAAAAGCTTGATTCACATTTGTATGTTGATCCAAACATACTGAGCACACAGATCGCTACTTTCTGAAGGTTAGGGAACTGCTGTTTTTTGATGTCACTCCAAAACTTCGCTGGCCCGTTGATGCGCTGCTCTTGTGCCATGGTTACGGATGACTGCATGTCAATAAGTTCCAGTATAAATGTCCCCTCGTCGATGGAGGGGACCACTTCCTTTGCTCTGGTGGATACGTCCCCCTCTATTGCAACAGTAAAGGGGTCTCTGACAAAGCCCATCACCTCTGTGGGCAGAACAAGTCCATCCAATCGACCGGCAAAGTTCTCTTTCAACCTCGCAATGAACTCTGTCATCACATCCGTGATTTGTGCCGGGGATGTGATGTGTTTGTGGAGCATCGGAAAATGCAGCATCCGACCCGTGCTCAAGTCGGTAGCGAAAAGGTCCAGCTTGACTTGGAATGCGCGCATCTGCTCCACAAGATCAATGACCGTTTTGTCTCTGCCTTGCAGTCCCACATTTAGGTCATTCAGATGTTTGAATATGTCACTCAGAAAGCAGACATCTGCCATGTAGCTGTCGTCCAGTATGCGTTGCAAGTTTGCTTCTGCCTTCTTTTGTTTGCTGCTGTGGAGAAAATGTATAATCTCTTCTCTGAGATCACAGAAACGCTCCAGTGCTTTGCCTTTGGACAGCCACCTGACATCATTGTGCAAAAGCAGGTCGTGGTGCTCAGCTGACATCTCTGACAGCAGCTTGCGGAATAAGCGGTGTTGGAGGCTTGATGTGCAGCGTATAAAATTAATAGTAGCCATCACATTGTTCATTGTAGTTTTGAGCTCCCCACCGAGTTTTGCGCACAACACCGTCTGATGCACAATGCAGTGTAAGGATGTTAACCGGGGTGCTACAGCGGACCAACGTGCTGCTAAACCACTTATTTTCCCTGCCATGGATGGAGCCCCATCTGTCACAAGCATGCACACACGCTCCATATCCAGATGGAGTCTTTGAAAAAGGCTGAAATTCTCTCAAAGACTATCTCGCCAGTTGTGTGTCCTTCTAACGACAGTAAGCCAAGCAATTCCTCTCGGAAGCATTTGCCGTCGAAAAAACGGACATATATGCACAATTGTGCGGTATCACTTTTGTCTGTGGACTCATCTACTGCAATGGACATGACATCGGCTTTCTTCAGTTCTTCCAACAGCGTTTCAAACACATCTGTAGCAAGAGTTTCAACCCTACGGATGTTTGACGTGTCTGACAAAGGAACATTTTTAATGGCAGATGTCACACACGTTTTAATTTTGTCGTCATGTATCACTTCATCCACGGCGGCCAGCATACACTCTTTCATGGTTTCAGAGTCTGTGAATGGCCTTTTATTTTTTGCCAAGATCCATGCAACACAGAGAGAAGCAGCTGTAGCTCTTTCTTGGGCTGTGAATGTTCGCACCATCGTGGTAGAGCTCCGGTTGTAACATAAAATCAAACTCTGCACTTTTACCGCCCTCTCCTGAGATCCTTCGGGGAAGTTTGTTCGGAAAGTCGGGTGTTTGTCATTGTGGTGCCTCCGGACATTGTAATCTTTAAGTACCGCAACGCACTGATTGCAAATTAAACACATCGGCTTGGCGTTTGGATTTGACGGCTGAATAAACAAGTATTTGTCGGTACAGGCAGGATTAAACTGACGGTTTTCATCGTCAAGTTTACGCTTCAGAGTTGAGAGAGACATATTTTAGAGTTGCTATCATAGGACCACTAGATGTACTTTAAAAAAATGCGCTGCGTCGTTGTTGTTTGGTTGTTTCTAGGCAACGCGGAGTGTTGTACATGGTCTGTACTAGTGTAGACATTTGGCCACGGGAGGCTGGGCCACTCGGGAGTTGGTTCTGGGCCGCATCTGGCCAGCGGGCCGCCATTTGAATAGGCCTGCGTTACGTCATCTTCAATGCAAAACACAAAACCAACATCAGCCGTTAGCTCTTAGCACTCAGAGATCACAGCTCCTCATATCTGTTCAGAAACTAGACAAAAGTTAAACAAGTACAAACCACAGACTGCCTGTGTCATGGCGAATACAGTCGCTGGTTAATTTATGTCTGTATAGGCCGTTGTTGTGAGTGTGGACGGTCGGAGCATATATAACGTTAGCTTAGCCAAGCTCCATTCAGAAAACAAGCATTCTAAAAGGTTTTTCGCCTGCCGTCTGTCTGCAGACTTGTCAAAGCATTAATTCATGGTTTTTACTAACCGGTATCAGTATGTTGTTACTTCGGCATCATTTTGAAACGTGTATTACAATTAAATCACGGTCAAATATGTTCATTTTGTTGCCAGCGATTCTCTCACTAGTTTAGCATACTCAGCCCGGTTGTTGGCCCGGAAAGAACCTCGATTTTGGAGAGCCAGAAAACTGTGAAAAAGTACCCGCTAGCCAGAACTACGCCTAGTGGAAACGCAAGCAAAAACGGGCCGGGCACGGCACGCTTAAACCGCGCTGTAGTGGAAATGCGCCATAAGTACAGCAACAGCTGTGTGTGTGTGTGTGTGTGTGTGTGTGTGTGTGTGTGTGTGTGTGTGTGTGTGTGTGTGTGTGTGTGTGTCCTGCTTTTTATACCATATGCTGAATTGCAAAAGACTAAAAATGCTTTAATGGGAAGATAATCTCCAGATTCATTGATAACAAGAATAAAACGTTACTTAAAGACTTTCAAGGAGCTATCGCCACTGTAAAGTGTCTTTGAGCACCTGAAAAAGTGCTTAGAAATCAAATGTATTATTATTATTTAAGACTGGTGATATAGAAATGTACTCCAGGGTGACGTCACTGTTAGAACAGTTCCTCGTTCAAAGATACATTTAAGTCTGTTTCAGTCCACTTTCAGTGTGTGTGTGTGTGTGTGTGTGTGTGTGTGTGTGTGTGTCAGACCTTTACAGCAACTAGGAAATACAGTAGCCAAGAACAGTTACTTTGTGCTTTATGTTAGTGTATGTATAAGTGGGAGACACGTTTTCCCATTCATATTAACATACTTCGTGTATGTGTTGGTACTTACATGGCAGTATATCTTTATATCTGTTCTTCTTGACATTCTCCTCCTTCTCTCCTACGTTGGTGGGGTAGATCTTCTCTGTGCGGTATTTAGTCGATAACCGCCGTAACCTCTGGAAAAAAACAAGAGGAAAATAGATTTAATAGAGATAGATGATGAATTATTTTCTCCTCTCTGCTTCACCTACACAGATTATATGTGATTTGTTTCTAAGTATAAACGAAGGAAAAGCAACATAGGGTTACACTGATGATGGGGGTGCTTTTCTGCAAAGGGAAACAGGAAAGAGAGAAATGATAGCAGACAGAATGATGAAACTTAATCTGAGAATCACACTGAAATACAGATCTGTAAGAGAGTAGAGAGTCATTTAAGTTTTAGGAAAGAAAACTTAAATGAGTGTTGAATGAGTGAAAACTCAATTTGAGTTTCAATCAAGCTTTGCCATTACATATGTTCTGTCCAGAGCCCTGTCTTACATACACAGCGGTTACAATGGTTAAACTCACACACATATTATACCCACCTTTAATGTTAGGAATACCACAGCTCCCCACCCCCCCACACACTGCTGTGCATTAAGTTAAGTGAGGCCAGATCTAATAGTCTGACACTGATAAAGACTCATGCAGTCAATGGGAAGCAGGCTCAAATTCAGCTAACAGTTCTTTAACTTGAGTTGACTCACAATATTCACCGACATGAAGAGCCCCTTTAATGCTGTTTGGGGTTTTCCCTTTCCAGTAGTGGGTTTTTTGTGTGGGTTTTGGTGCATGTAAACGGTCTGCAAAGGTTAAAATGTGTTCCGTCCACAAAAAATATGACCTCCTTAAACACCATTACTTTCTACTGTAATATAATTACAAAAAGTGGCAAGGCAGATTTAACTGGCCAAAATAAACCAGTCAGTGCCTGTTTTATTAAAAGTGAGATTGTAATATTTCCTTCACTTAAGCTGTGCGTAGAGTCGGTTTGCTATTTACTGACATATGTTGTCTCAGAGTTAAAAAGGGGTTTACATTTCTATTGTATTAGCTTTAAGTTGATTCCATTTTATTAAATGGGAATCACTGGTTTCCTTTTAACTCCACAAGCATATTTTATAAGATGAAGAAAGAGGCTTCAGCACCATCTATAGTGCTAAATGCTACATTTAAAACATAAAAGAGGAAAATATACTATATTTGAATACATTGAGGGACATTTCTGAATCTTCCAGTGAATCACCGTGGCCTCTAGTCACTGTTTCGGCTCCCAAACGGCTCTTCATTCACAGTTTACCACGGAGCCTCAGTATCGCCACTGCGAGGCTCTGGTGCTCGCAGCTCATTCGCGTGCTCCACTAAAACCCCCCTGCTCATCGCGTCCAAATCGCGCACGTTCCGTGTTGTCCTGTAGCAGGCACCTTCGATGTCGGGGAAACGACCTTCAATACTCCGAAAATAATCCCACCAGACTCCTTTGCCCCTCCAACAGAGGGATGTCCTTGTCCTTTTCGTAATTTCAAGCGATAAAAACTCTCGATCTTCTCTCGAATTATTAATATTTTTGGATGCCCTCGGCTCGAGTTCAGGGCGTCCCGAGCTGAATAAGGGCGTCAAATGACGGCAAGACGGCCCCCTGGCGGAAACGCTGGTGTGTGTGGTTATATATTATAATATATATATTTGGTTATATCCATGGTTTTTTCCGAAAAACACCGGTTCTTTTTCTCGTTGTTAATATGTTTTGCCATATGCATATGTACGGCGTGGATGCATATTGTTCTAGTATTTGTTCAGGCTGTTACATACAATTAGTCTCTGTTGCTACCTGCTGGTGAGTAAATATTAAAATCAGTTAAAATTGACAACCGGTCCGCGTTTTTTTGTATTTATGTAGGCCTATGTATCTGCCGGTCCTTGGCACAATAAAAGGTTGGGAACCTCTGGGTTAAATCACTTCCTTCCCTCTTTCTGAGACAGTGAGGAAATTAGGCATCACTCTCACTCCCCTTCTCTCTAGCGGTCTCTGAGAAAGTCAGCGTGGGTGTTGGGCTGCTGGAGCTCCGTGTGAGGAATGCCCCCCCCCCCCCTCTCTTCTCAGTGGCCCTGACTGTTACTGTGGCGGAGACACACAGTACATCCTGACACCAACCCTGTTCTTCCTGTCCCTGTTTCTCCTCTGTGCTTAAGCAGACATAAAACAATACACACAGAGATGAACGCAAAAACACACACAACAGGTATTTGTAATCTTACATACATAAATATGAAAGCTGTGATGAAAATGTTTAAGAGGACATATTCTGCAGCTCATTTTCATGTTCATATCAGTATGTAGTGTCTCTACTGGGACATGTCTCCATGCTTTAATGCAGCACCTCTTTTCACCCTCTGTCTGAAAAACCAGAGCCCAGTCTACTCTGATTGGTTAGCTGGCCGGCTCTGTTGGGATTGGTCAACTGCTTAGAGATGTCCCGCCCCTTAGCCTATCACGTACAATGTTTTGGAGCTAGGGTTGCAAAATTCCGGGAATTTTCAAAGATGGAAACTTTCCATGGGAATTAATGGGAATAAACTGGGAATGTTCTAAATTGAAGGTTGGCTCTTCATAGGGAACTTAAATATAGTTGGGGAAAGTATATTTTAGCATAATCTTGACTAAAACAAACAGATGCCATTCAAGTACACTTGAATATCCATGCCATAGCACACCGCTTACTGCATGGCTATTGAGACCACACCCCCTACAGGCACTGTGCATTCCTCCATCACATGCACAGATGAGTAATATTTAACTCAACATTCCTGTTTTCGTTCTTCAATGAAACAAATAATTGTTCAATAACATAATTAAAACTTGTTCTGTTGTACTTTAAAAAGACATTTTTTTAAATTTAAAAATCTGTTGAAATGTCATGTTTTTTGTTTAATTTTGCATAGAATATTTCCAAAATTCTCCGGCTTAATGTCCCATGGACACTTTCCGCCCCTTTGCAACCCTAGTTGGAGCACAAGCCAATAGAGGCGCTAGTGTTACATAGTGATGTCACTATGTGCCTTTACCAAATATTGCACATAATGCGATTTGGATAATTGTGATTTTGCTGAGTGAAATAGATAGATCAATAGATTTCAGCCCAAACTCTTCAATAAGAGATGATTTCAAAATGACTCTTTGTGTATTCATCACATGTAGTATCAATATTGTGATATTGAATATTTTCCTTTCTTTTTGATTCAGGGCTTCGGTACATTCAAAAACTGACTGCTCACTGAATACACACACACACACACACACACACACACACACACACACACACACACACACACACACACACACACACACACACACACACACACACACACACACACACACACACACACACACCACACACACACACACACCACACACACACACACACACACACACACACACACACACACACACACACACACACACACACACACACACACACACACACACACACACACACACACACATCTAAAGACATGAGTTTTTCTCCTCATCTTTATATAGAGAATGAGAGGTACACACACTGTGGGCGGCAACACAGCTGTGTGTGTGTGTGTGTGTGTGTGTGTGAATAGCAGTAGAGCTCCTCTGGCCTCATGTGAATTACATTTCCAACAGAGGCCTGCTTCTGTGTTGGGCTAGAGCCCGGGAACACACACACACACACACACACACTAATACACACACACAATGAGCAAGAGGAGGCAGGCAACAGTGATTTGTGATGGTTTTTGATTCCCCCAACCCAAAAACACATTCTGCTGAGACTATCATGCACACATTGCTCCGTTCTCTGTAATGATGATGAGTTTTCTCTTTGTAGCCTATTTCACTTCATTTACAGAAAACTGGAAAAACAAGTGGATTCCTCCTAAAGTCAATTCATTCTGACATTCTGTAGCACCTAATCAAGGATTTGTTTTGGCCCTGAATCAAAATACATGATCGACTGGCAGCAGCCATTTAGGAAGAGATTTCCTGTTTTCACAAGCACACAAGTTGTATAATCACGAGGTCAAACTGCCAAGGATTATCCACACAGAAGAAAACTAGGGAATAACAACTTTAGTACCAGGCTCAAAGACATTTCAGCAGTTATAAATCCAGGTGTACACCTTCCTCTCTCAATTCAGAGGAGCAAACCAACATGTTCCACTTCTAAATAAACAACAGCTTGTTTCAGTCGTCAGAAAATACAGGCCACACTGTCTGGTATCTGTTTAGCTGACTGATAAGATTTAAAATAACATATTTCAATCAAATAATACACGTTATGCTTCCATGTTACTTTTTTTTGACGGATTGTGGAGATATTATATATGTATTTCACCTACCACAACTGTTAAATTACCCACAGGTATAGAGTATAATAGCTGGTAAGGAAACAACACATGTACAAAAGCTAGCAGTTTTTAGTTGTTAATTCTTAAAGCAACAAAATGAATATTGAATGATTTGAAGCAGTTTGTGAATGCATCAGTGCAACCCTGTGGTTACTGTTCAATATAGAGGCTGGCTGTCATGGTATTTTCCAATTAACCAACTATTTCCATCCAAGCAAGTTGTATGACATTTGATTTTAGGCATTGCATACTTCAAATGTGGATTGGGTCTTAAGACTAACACTTTAATATTAGAACTATGGATGTCATCAATCTTGAATAACAACTTAAAGTCAAGTTTAATGATTTATCAGGTTAATAAACAAATCAATCTCATACACACACACACACACACACACAATGGGAGAGCAGTGTGCAGCTCTGTAGCTTTTCTAAACAAACTGACAACATAGGTAACTTGGAGAGGAAATAAGAAGAGAGTGGAGGAGAGGAGATCTGGAGTATTTGAGATAAAGTGATTTTTGGAGAAAGATGGGAGAAGCAAAGCAGAGGAAAGAGGGACAGCCAAGGCTTTTAAGAGGCTCTCGGAAACTAAGCTAATGGATTCCTTTATTCCTTTGGTCTATTCACATGCTCTCTTTACACACTCAGTCGCTTCGCACTAGCCTCTGCTCTGAATGGAGGGGGGGGGGGACAGAGATATGTAAACATACTTGTGTCCATCAGCGCTTCAAGTATACTCCTCTATTGG